GTTCTAGGTTACAAAGGGACATTGATAGGATGCAGAGCTGGGCTGAGAAGTGGCAGATGGAGTTTAACCCTGAAAAGTGTGAAGTGATGCATTTTGGAAGGACAAACTTGAAAGCAGAATATAGGGTTAACGGAAAGATTCTTGGCCGTGTGGAGAAGCAGCACGATCTTGGAGTTCATGTCCACAGTTCCCTGAAAGCTGCCACCCAGGTGGATAGAGTTGTTAAGAAGATGTATGGTGTGTTAGCTTTCATTAATAGAGGGATTGAGTTCAAGAGCCGTGAAGTTAGCTCCAGCTATACAAAACCCTGGTTCGGCCACATCTGGAGTATTGTGTCCAGTTCTGGTCCCTCATTATAGGAAAGATGTGGAAACGTTGGAAAAGGTGCAGAGGAGATTTACCAGGATGTTGCCTGGAATGGAGGGAAGGTCTTACAAGGAAAGGTTGAGAGAGCTAGGGCTTTTCTCTTTAGAACGACGAAGGATGAGAGGTGACTTGATAGAGGTGTACAAAATGATCAGAGGTATAGATAGAGTAGACAGCCAGAGACTTTTTCCTAGGGTGGAGGTAGCTATTACAAGGGGGCATAGTTTTAAAGTGAGTGGAGATAGGTATAGGGGATACGTCAGAGGTAGGTTCTTTACTCAGAGAGTGTTAGGGGCATGGAATGCATTGCCGGAGAGGAGTCGGCCTCATTAGGGGCATTTAAGCGGCTATTAGATAGGCATATGGATGATAGTATAACATAGGGGTGGAGGTTAGATAGGCCTTAGGATTAGGGTAAAAGTTCAGCACAACATCGTGGGCTGAAGGGCCTGTACTGTGCTGTACTGTTCTACGTTCTATGTCCTAATTTCTGCACTTTACACACAGATTGTCCCCTTGGTCCCTCATGTGCACTACTCTTTCCCTTGTTAACTTCTTTCTTTTAATATATTTATAAAATATCTTAGGATTCTCCCTAATCCTGTTCGCCATTCCTTTTTCATGCCACCTCTTTGCTATTCTAGTTGTGTTCTTAAGTTCTTTTTTGCAATTCCTGTACTCCCCTAGGGCTTCACCTGAATTGCTCCATTTGGACTTGCTAAAACTTTAGCTGATTATGGATAGTCAACTATGGCTTTGTGAGTGGGAAATCGTGTCTCACTAACTTGAGTTTTTTGAAGAGATGGCCAAGGAAATAGATGAAGGCAGAGCAGTAGATGTTGTCTACATGGACTTCAGTAAGGCCTTCGACAAGGTTCTGCATGGTAAGTCAGGTTAGATTACATTGGATCCAGGGAGAACTAGGCAGTAGGATACAAAATTGGCTTGATGGTTGGAGGCAGAGAGTGGTAGCAGAGGGTTGTTGTTTGCACTGGAGGCCTGTGACCAGCAGTGTGTCGCAAGGATTGTTGCTGGGTCCACTTTGTTTGTCATTTATATTAACGATTTGGATGAAATATAGGAGGCATAGTTAGTAAATTTGCAGATGACATCAAAATTGCTGGTACAGTAGACAGGGAAGAAGGCTATCTGAGAGTACATCAAGATCTTGATCAGCTGGATTAATGGGCCGAGGAGTTGCAGATGGACTTTAATTTAGATAAAAGCGAGGTGTTGCATTTTGGTAAGACAAACCAGGGCAAGATTTACACAGTTAATGGTAGGGCCCTGGGAGTGTTGTTGAACAGAGAAACCTAGGAATGCAGGTATATAATTCATTAAAAGTAGACAGGGGGGTGAAGAAGGCGTTTGGCACGCTTGCCTTCATTGGTCAGAGCATTGAGTATAGGAGTTGGGGTGTCATGTTATGACTGTATATACATTGGTGAGGCCTCTTTTGGAGTCCTGCATACAATTCTGGTTGCCCTGCTACAGGAAAGATGTTATTAAACTTGAGAGGGTGCAGAAATGCTTTTCAGGGTTGTTGCTTGGATTGAAGGATTTGAGTTATAAGGAGAGGCTGGATAGGGTGGGACTTTTTCCCCTAGAGTGTAGGAGGAGCGGTAACCTTATAAAGGTTTATAAAATCATGGGAGGCATCGATAAGGTGAACAGCCAAGGTCTTTTCCACAGGGTAGGGGAGTCCAAAACTAGTGGGCATTGGTTTCTAGTAACATAGCTTCTTCTTTGGTCACCATGGCCCAAGTAGTATCTACCATGTTAGTAAAGACAGATGCAAAGTAATCAGAACACCTCAGCCACCTTAGCACCTCTTGCTTCAATGTGCAAATCCCCTTTTTGGTCTCTAATCGGCTCCCCCTTTTACTACTGATGTGCCTATAGAAGGCTTTGAGATTTCCCATTATGTTGACTGCCAATCTTTTCTCATAATCCCTCTTCACTTCTCTAATATGTGTTCCCACCTCCTGTCTGAACCTTCTGTATTTCTCCCATTTCTCAACTGCATTTTATGCCTGACATCTGTCATAAGCACATTTTTTCTTCTTTAACTTTTATCTTTTTCATTTAGGGAATTCTGAATCTGTTTGCCATCCATTTGTCTTTTAAGGGATTATATCTTGACTGTATCAAAACCATCTGCTCTTTGAAAGCAGGTCATTGTTCAGCTATAGTTTTTCCCATCGACCTTTTGTTCTAGTCTACTTGCTCAGCTCTATTTTTGCCCCATTTCTCCGTTCTCCCCAGCTAATTATTCTTACATTGGATTGTCTGTTGTGTTTTTCGATTGTCAATCTAAACCTTATGATACAATGATCACTGATTCCTAAATGTCTCCCCACTGATACTTGATCTGCTTTGTCCATGTCATTTCCAAGAACCAAATCCAACAGTGCATCCACTCTTGATGAAAAATTTGCTGAAGGAAATTTTCCTCAGCAAAACCTAGGAATGTTTGCACCTTTCTGCCCTTAATACTACCACCATCCAAGTAAGTTAATGTGCCTTATTATAACTGCTTTGTTGTATTGGTTTCTGTCTGTGATTGCCCTGATTATTTCTCTACATCATTCCTGAGATCTGCTGATCTATAGATTTCACTGAGCAATGTAACTGCACCCTTTTGGTTGGTTGGTTATCTCTATGGAGGCTCTCAAGCAGGTTCCTCTCAGTCTGTCATTTAGTGGGGGCAATTATGAAGAAAATCTTGTTGTAGTTTCACTTCAATAATTCGTGTAAACTGTGTTCTTTATATGGCCTGAACTCCTGGAAATAACTGATCCTGCTAGACCACATCACAGGGTATAAAAGAGATTTTCAGCATTTAATCTGGTTTCCTGGATCAGGAGTTTCAAACCCCATTCTCAGCCTAACCTGAAATTTCAGTCTTCCTGTCCCGAAACCCCGCCTCCGATCAGGGTTATTCCAAAATTATCCCAGTTTCTGAGGAAGGGTCGCTTGACCTGAAATATTAACTTTGATTTCTCTCCACAGATGCTGCCAGGCCTGCTTGGATTTTGCAGCAATTTCTGTTTTTATTCCAATTAGCATTGAGCTCAACACCTTCAAATTGTGAACTCATTCCTTTCCCTTCCTTTTAGCTTTGCTTGTTACATTCTTTGTCACCCTCTCTCCCCTCCCCCACCCCAGTGGGACTGTTTGTTCTATCCAGTCTAACAGTTAGACATGCCATTATTCTGCCATTCTCATATTCCGATCACTTAATCTGAACTATCAACATCCATTTTCCCCTAGCACTCCAACCACCCCCCAATTATTGCATAAATGCTGCCCCCTCCACACTTTAGTTCTGGTGAAGAGGCATCTAGAATCCAAATGTTAGCTTGCTTTCTCTCCATGGATACTGCCTGACCCACTGTGATCTCCAGCATTTTTGTTTTCAGTTCAAATTCCAGCACCTGCAGTAATTTGCTCCTACCTTATTCCTAATTAATTGGTTTAGTGTCATGGTCTTCCCACATTGATGCGACAATCAAGAAGGCACAACAATGCCTCTTCTTCCTCAGGTGCCTCAGGAAATTTGGCATGTCCATAAGGTCCCTCACCAACTTCTACAGATGCACTTTTGAAAGCATACTGTCCAGGTGCATAATGGCCTGGTATGGCAACTGCTCTGCCCAGGACCATAAAAAAACTACAGCAGGTGGTGTGCACAGCCCAGACCATCACGGAAGCCAACCTTCCATCCATGGCTCCATTTACATGGCTCGCTGCTGTGGAAAGTCTGCCAACATCATTAAAGACCCATCGCCACCCTGGTAATTATCTCCTACAACCTCTTCCGTCAGCAGAATATACAGAAACCTCAACACATGCACGAGCAGGTTTAGGAACAGCTTCTTCCCGGCCATTATCAGACTGCTAAATGGACTCTCTAGCCTCAAATAATGCTGATATAGCTAACATTAATCTCACCTAGCACACGCCCTGTGCAATCCTGTTGGCTATGTTTAAGGGTGACACGGTGGCTCAGTGGTTAGCACTGCTGCCTCACAGCACCAGGGACCGGGGTTCGATTCCACCCTTGGGCGACTGTCTGTGTGGAGCTTCTCCCCATGTCTGTGTGGGTTTGCTCCGGTTTCCTCCCATAGTCCAAAGATGTGCAGGCTAGGTGGACTGGCCGTGCTAAATTGTCCATAGTGTTCAGGGATGTGTAGATTAGGTGGGTTATGCGGGATAGGTCTGGGTGGAATGCTGTGAGGGTCAGTGTGGACTTTCTGGGCCGAAGGGCCTGCTTCCACACTGTATGAATGCAACCTGTACACCTCTATCTAAGTCTTTTTGATCTATACATCCTTCACTTACTATGATCTGCCTGTACTGCTCATAAACAAAGCTTTTCACTGTATTTTGGTACACGTGACAATAAATCAACCACTGACTCACTCAGGCAACCACAACTGTTCTTTTGCCATACAACAGATTAAAGAAAATTAAATGTTTCACTTGCCAGCTGCAACATATGACATGTTAAAAATGTAAAGATCAAATAAATAATTCTGAAACTGTTTCTCTATGTACACACAAAGGAATTAAGAACAGGTATTTTTAATGCCACAGAATGGCACATTCAAAATAATTCAAAACTTGCACAGTTTATTTTTAATAGTTTTATTTGTAAGGCAATTCTGTAACTAAATACGAGTCTTCAAAATGGAAGAAAATAAAGCAGCTCTATTGGTCACATTAAAGCTATGGGCTCAATATAATGTAGAAATAGAATACAATTTTATAATAGGTGATCATTCTTAGCATTTTTCACTGGAAGGAAAAGCTGGCACTGGGAAGACCTCCACACCATTGACTAACAAACTTCAACACGTCTTGACACTCTGGGCTATGAGTTGTCTAGAAACAGAATAAAATATTTATATCAGTTAAACTGCATTGACCACCTTTACCATATATAAATCAAGATATTTAAATTTGAACAGAAAGCACTGGGGAAACTTAGGCCTGGCAGCATTTATAGAGACAGGAACAGAGTTAACATTTCAAGTAAAATGATCCTTTGTCAGACTTGAAATGTTAACTCTATTTATATCTACAGATACTGCTAGACCTAATGAATTTCTCCAATACTTTGTTTTTATTTCAGATTTCTGGCATCTGCAGTTCTTTGTTCTATTTAAATTTGAATTCTTAATCACTGTTGATTGTTTACAAGTAACTCTTGCAAATGATTTTGCCTGAATGCCAACTTTTTGTAAATATTTTAAAGAAGTGTACACCCAATATGGTTGACATTTGGAAAATTTAAGATTTAAGAACTTAACTAAAACAGTAGCTACTCCAAAAAGGGTCAATTACATACTTCCGTGGTGCTGGCTAAAATATTTGTGAAGACATTGGTACAGTGATAATGCCTCTGGACAAGGAATCCAGACACCCAGTCTATCAATCTGGGGACATGGGTTGAAATATCACCATGGCAGCAGGTAGAATGTATATTAAATCAATAACTCTGGAATTGAAAGTTAACCTTAACAAAGGTAACTGTGATCGTCATAATACCTCATCTGATTTGCTAATGTCCTGTAGGGAAGGAAATCTATCGTCTTTACTGTGTCTAGCCTACATGTGATTCCACACACAATGCAATTGATTCTTAATTGTCTCTTGGCCAATTGAGGATGGCAGCAAATGCTGTCAGCAATGATTCAATGACTCTATAAGATAAACAAAATGTTTTGCTACTGGAAAAATTCTCAACATATCCTAAAATATTTAAGAACTTTGCAGTTACTTACCTTTACTGCCATGAGAAATTTGTTCCAGTCATCTTTGTTTGCTGCTTTACCATGTCTTTTGAATTCAATTTTGTTACGGAGTACTGGATAACCTAAGTATGCATAAAATAAATTACATTCAATATATGAAAATTGAATTTTGAGGTAATATTTGTAGAAACATCATGATGTGTAAAGGGATAAAAGGGTTCAGGTTTCTGAATGTTTTTAAGCCATAAATATTATTACCCCATAAATCCCAAAGAGTGGGTTGGTATATGTGGCATGCAATGTGATACTGAGCCGTTAAAGCTGGAAACTCAGGGGTTCAATTCTGCTATGTTGGCTGACCTCATCCAGGATGGCTACAAAAAATTAAAACTAGTCTCTAGATATCCTGGGCTAAGGTGGAGCAAGATCCTTAAAGGATAGCATCTGACTTAGTTGTGTTGTCTCCTAGACCAAACGCGTACAAACAGGCATTCTGGGAACGTCATAATATTAGATGCATAACAGAGTACTATTGCTGCCTCCCAGAGAAAAGGCATAATGTAAGATATATTCCAGAGAAGAAATAGGTAGAGGCATACGGTATTTTTGACTAAGACAAACAAAAGATGGTTGCCATCATTATTGCTGTCCACCAAGAAGCAAGCACCTAAGGGCAAGATTATGGTGAATTCAATTAATTCATCCATCATACTATTCACTTTGTACTGATATCCATTAACATACATTGATCATTCAATTCCCAAACAATTTTGGTAGAGAGTCACAAGCCTAATTTTATATATAAACATGGTCTACTTTAAATTGTAAGGCATAAGAATATGAGGAACGATGAATAATCCATTAGGCCCAATTTGTCTACAGGACATATGCTTTTCACATAATAGACACTGCTCAACTCACCAGTATGCATGTAAGATCATCAACTACATGTAATCATTGAAGCAGACAAAGGCTTTATGAAGTTGTTTTCCTGACCCCTTTTCTAACAAATCACAACTCCAAATAATAATCCAATTCTGCAATTTAGATGCAACACAAGCTGTACAGGTGATTCATCCAAGACTCCAGCAATACCAATTCCAATAGATAATCCAAGTTTATCCTTATTCTTATAATCATGGTGCACGAGAACATGTTGGCCATGAGTTGTACCAAATGCCATATTGACAAGGATGTCAGTGAGCATGCTCAAAGTCAGCATCCATCTTAAATATGCAGAATGACAGATCATGACATTAATTAGCAATCATGTATTGCAACCAAAAGGAATTCCACTCCCTCAATATCCAGCTGGTGTCTGCCCACACACAATGAATCATGAAAGTCAATGCCTAGTACCCGAACAGCAGTCATGAAGACTTCATATTTTGGGGATTATGATAGGAGACAGAAAATACAACAAAGAACAGGACAGCACAGGAACAGGCCCTTCAGCCCACAATGACTGTACCGACACATGATGCCTTTCTAAACTACAAACCTCTTGCCTCTATATGGTCCAAATCCCTCTATTCCCTGCCTATTCATATCTATCAAAACATTGAAAGACATTAGGTTGCTTTTGGGTTCAGAATGATCAAGGATTGATTTTAGATTAGGCAAACCCAAAGATTAAAACACTTTTGGCTGATTTGAAGGAGGCCTGACTGAAGTCAGATGGAAGTATGGCCCTCCTAGCAAAGGAGAATTTGCTCAGAGCATTTAAGGAAATATATTACCTTACTAAATGAGTGTATTTTGTGAAACTTCCAGACCAGTTTGAGTGGAACTCTGAAGATTATTAAAAGACTGAGAACGTCAAAGCTCTCAATTGCACAGTTCATTGGACTGAAATTGAGAAGAGGCAGGCAAGTCAAACCTATAGATTTCATTGAGAAGGAATGTCTGTGTTTTTTGAGTTACAATGATATGATGGCATTGGGGAATAGATGAGAATTTATTTTGTCTGTGTTTGAAATTTTTCGAACAATGCTATATGCAGAGGACTTGTTTTGTTTTATTTCTTTTGTGAAATAAAGTTATGTTTTATTGTTAAAGCAAAATCTGCAGCCTTGTGTTCATGTTTTCATTATAAGACCATCACATTACATTAGATTAGATTAAAACAAAAATGATATATCAAGCTCAGTTTCATTCTGGAATCTTATTTGTCTAGTTGTAACATCAGCTGGGATCAGAACAAACACACAGATGCATGGGCAACATGCATACCATGAAAGCCATGCTGCCATACAAAGTATGGTAGAATGAATCATTGGCAAAAGATCATGAGATACTGAAGAAGAACTGGCTATTTGGCCCATTGACACTGTTCTGCCATTCAATAACTGAAGTGTTTCTCAACCTCCTGACTTCTTCCCATAACCCTTGATCCCCTTGCCAATTAAAACATATCTCTGTCCTAAATACACTCAATGACTTAACTCCACAGCTCTCTGCGGCAATGTGTTCTACAGATTTACTACCTTATGGCTGAAGAAATTCCTCCTCATCTCAGTTCTAAAGGGTCATCCCTTCATTCTGAGGTTGTGCCCTCAGTCCTAGTATCTCCTACTAGTGGAAACATCTTCTCCACATCCACTCTATGCAGGCCTCTCAATATTATCTTTCTAAACTCTTGTCAAGCACAGACCCAGAGTCCTCAACCGCTGCTCAAATCATCAGTCCGAAATGCCCATGATCATCCTTGCAATGCTCCCCAGCATACCCTCCAAGGGCAACACATCTTACCTTAGACAAGGGGCCTAAAACTGCTCATAATATTACAGATGCAGTCTGACCAGATCCTTATACAGCCTCTGTTCTGTTTTGTTCTAGTCCTCTTGAAATGAATGCTTAACTCCCATAGAGTCACAGTGTCATACAGCACAGAAACAGACCCTTTGGTCCAACCAGTCCCACAGCCTGTTCCTGGCCCAAATCCTTCCAAACCTTTCCTATTCTTGTACCTATCCAAATGACTTTTAAAAGATGTGATTGTAATGGCATCCATCACTTCCTCAGGAAGGTCATTCCACACGTGAACCACCCTCTGAGTGAAAAAATTGTCTCTCATGTCTTTTTAAAATCTCTCTCCTCTCACCTTAAAAACGTGCCCCCTAGTCTTGAAATCCCTTATCCTAGGGAAAGGGCAACTACTACTAACTCTATCTATACCTGTCATTATTTTATAAACATCTGTCAGGTCGCCTCTTAGCCTCCGATGCTCCAGTGAAAGAAGTCCCAGCCTATCCAGCCTTTCTTTATAACTTAAACCTTCTATACTTGGCAACATCCTGGTAAATCTCTTCAGAATCCTCTCCAGCTTGACAATATCCTTCATATATTTGCCGACCAGAACTGGACACAGTATTCTAGAAGGGTCCTCACCAATGTCCTGTACAACCTCAACATGACTTCCCAACTCCTATACTCAAAGGACTGAGCAATGAAGGCAAGAGTGCTAAATGCCTTTTTAACCACCCTGTACATATGTGATGCAAACTTCAAAGAATTAGGTACCTACACACCTAGGTCCCCCTGTTCAACACTACCCAAGGCCCTACTATTAATTGTACAAGCCCTACCCTCATTTGTTGTACCAAAATACAACACCTCACATTTATCCAGATTGAACTCCATCTACCATTTTTCAGCCCATTTTGACCTATCTGATCAAGATCCCTTTGTAATCTTAGAAAATCTTCTTCACCACCAATTTTGGTGTCGTCTATAAACTTACTAACTATGCCCTCTATATTCTCATCCAACTCATTTATATAAATGACAAACAAAAGAGGGCCTAGAACCGATCCCTGTGGAACACTACCAGCGACAGGCGTCCAGTCCGAAAAGCAACCCTCCACTGCCACACTCTGTGTCCTGCTGTTCAGCCAGTTATGTATCCAATTGGCAAGCTCACCCTGATTTCTATGTGAGCTAGCTTTATTAAGTTAATCTACCATGCTGAATCTTGTCAAAAGTGTTACTAAAATCTAAATAAACAATGTCTACTGCTCTGCCATCATTAATCTTTTTGGTAACTTCCTCAAAAATCTCAATCAAGTTTGTGCGACACGATTTTCCTCACAAAACCATGTTGACTATTCCTAACCAATTTTTGCCTCTCTAAATGTCCTTACATCCATCCCATCATTTATGATCACCTTAAACACAATTTACTCACAATCGAAGTCAGACTCACACTCTATAGTTCCCTGGTTTCTCCTTTTAAACTTTCTTAAGGAAAGGTACAACATTAGCCGCCCTCCAGTCATCAGGTACCTCACCCGTAGTTATAGATGATGCAAACATTTCTGCAAGGGGCCTTGCAATTTCCTCCCTTATTTCCCACAATGTTCTGCAATACATTAGGTCAGGTCCCAGAGATTTATCCACCTGTGTATTCTGTAAGACCACTTGAACTTCCTCTTCTGTAATGTGAACTGTTTTTAAAACATCAAAGTTTATATCTCTACATTCTCTAGACTCCATTTCTTTCTCCACAGTAAAAACTGATGTGAAATATTCATTTAGTATCTCTCCTATCTCCTGGGGTTCAACACAACGATGATCTCCTTGAACTGAACCTGCATGTTAACCTCAACAGAATGCTGAACTAGGAGTCCCAAGTCCTGAAATGATTTACATATTTGAAGTCTTTCCCCATTTAGAAAACAGTCTCTGCCTCTATTCTTCCTACCAAAGAACATAATGTCACACTTTGGCACATTGTATTCCATCTGCCACTTATTTACTCAATCTCCTAGCCTGTCCAAGTTCTTCTGTAGCCTCCTTACTTCCTCAACACCACCTTCCTGTTCACCTATCTTCGTGTCATCTGCAAACGTAGCAACAATCCCTCAGTTCCTTTGTCCAGGTAAGTTATGTATCATGTGAATTGTTGTGATCTCAACACGGACCCCTGCGGAACTCTACCAGTCACCAGCTGCCACCCTGAAAAAGACTCCTTTATCTCTACTCTCTGCCAGTCAGTCAATCCCTCTAGCCATGCCCATACATTGCCCCCAACATAATGGGCTCTTACCTTATTTAGCAGCCTCCTGTGTAGCATCTTGTCAAAGGCCTCTGGAAATCCAAATAAATCACATCCACTGGCTCTCCTTTGTCTAATTTGCTCATTACCTTCTCAAAGAATTCTAACAGATTTGTCAGTCATGACCTCCTCTTGACGAGTTTGTGCTGGCTCAGTCCTATTTTACCATTCAGTTCCAAGTACTTCATAATCTCATCCTTAATAATCTAAATTCTTACCAACAACCGAGGTCAAACTAACTGGTCTACTGTTTCCTGTCTTCTGCCTCCCTCCCTCTTTAAACAGGAGTACTACATTAGCCATTTTCTAGTCCTCTGGGACCCTCCCTGACTTCAGTGATTCTTGAAAGATTACCACCAATGCCTCTACCACCAATGCATGCTTGTGCAACCTGCAATATCCTGGAATGCACTGGAGGAACCCTGCAGTTCTAACAGAGCATATGCCAAGATTTGAGGCAATCTGCCCTAAACTATGCAAATTTGCTATATAGAGGAGTTGACTTCTGCAACTGGTTTTATGATGAGCAGCTGAGGATGAGGAAGAATAGGAAAGAGGAAGGAACACAGACATTCCCTTTTTGGGTAGTCTGTCCATGAATAAACCATTCAGCTATAATAGCAGCTAAAGCAATTCCCCATGATTGACAATCCCAAACTTTACATTTCTTCTGTTACTAACCATCTTAATGTCTGCTCAGGCATAGTGCAATAATAAAAACCATCAAAAAATTCCGTCCAGAAGTTATAAATCACACGACGCTGTTAAATACAAAATATTAACTAATCACTCCTGCACATTTCCTAAATGCCTGTCTTCCATGTGTCTTTTCATGTCCTAGTTCTCTTATACCGCAGACAACAAGGTGCAGAGCTGGATGAACACAGCAGGCCAAGCAGCATCATAGGTGCAGAAAGGCTGACGTTTCGGGCCTAAACCCTTTTTTTTTCCTGATGAAGGGTCTAGGCCCGAAACGT